AAATCTGTCCACCATGGACGAACTTGCTGCTATTTGAAATACTGGTAGAATAGCTTCCATCATCATAACATGAACTTTGACATCATGGTATCTGATAATTATTGATAATGACCTAAAATTGTCAACTCTAGTATTGATGAATTGCTTTTATCTATTTTATATTCCTCATCAGATGAAAGAGTTTGCACTCAAGCCACCACAGTAGGACAAGCTGACAGATGGGTGGTAGGTATATAAACTATATTTCACTATACTTGTTGTTTTTGTTAGGTACCATCGAGTCGGTTCCTATGTACAACAAAATGAAACACTGCCCAGTCCTGTGCCATCCTCACAATCATTGCTATGTTTGAGCCCATTATTGCAGCCACTGTGGCAATCCATCTGCTTGAGGATCTTCCTCTTTTTCGCTGACCCTCTACTTTACCAAGCATGATGTCCTTCTCCAGGGACTGATCCCTCCTGATAACATGTACAAAGTACGTGAGACAAAGTATTGCCATCTTCCCTTCTAATGAGCATTCTGGTTCTACTTTCAAGACAGACTTGTTCCTTCTTCTGGCAGTCCATGCATGGTATAATCAATATTCTTTGCCAACACCATAGTTCAAAGGCACCAATTCTGTCTTCCTTATTCATTGTCATTTCTTTTACATGTATATGAGGCGAATGAAAATACCACGGCTTGGGTCAGGGGCACATGAGTCCTCAAAGTGACATCTTTGCTTTTTAACACTTTAAAGAGGTCTTTTGCAGGAGATCTGCCCAATACAATATGTTGTTTGATTTCTTGACTCCTGCTTCCATGGGTGTTGATTGCAGATCCAAGTAAAATGAACTTCTTAACAACTTCTGTATTTTCTCCAATTATCACGATGTTGCTTCTTGGTCCAGTTGTGAGGATTTTTGTTTTCTTTATGTTGAAGTGTAATCCATACTGAAGGCTGTGGTCTTTGATCTTCATCAATAAGTGCTTCAAGTCCTCTTCGCTTTCAGCAAGCAAGATTGTGTCACCTGCATATCGCAGATTGTTAATGAGTCTTCTTCCAATCCTCATGCTGTGTTTTTCTTCATATAGTCCAGCTTCTTGGATTATTTGCTCAGCATACAGATTGAATAAGTATGGTGAAAGGATACAGTAAAACCCGGACACACACCTTTCCTGACTTTAACCCATGGCAGTATACCCTTGTTCTGTTTGAACAGCTGCCTCTTGGTCTATGTATAGGTTCCACATGAGCATCATTATGTGTTTCTGGAATTCCCATTCTTCAGAATGTTATCCATAATTTGTTATGATCCCACACAATTGAATGCCTTTGCATAGTCAATAAAACACAGGTAAACATCTTTGTGGTATTCTCTGCTTTTAGCCAAGATCCATCTGATATCAGCAATGATATCGCTTGTTCCACGTCCTCTTCTGAAACTGGCTTGAATTTCTGGAAGTTCCCTATAGATGTACTGTTGCAATCATTTTTGAATTATCTTCAGCAATATTTTATTTTTGTGTGATATTAATGATATTGTTCAATCATTTCCGCATTATGTTGAATCACCTTTCTTAAGAATGGTCACAAATATGGATCTCTTACAGTCAGTTCAACAGGTAGCTGTCTTCCACATTTCTTTACATAGATGAGTGAGTGCTTCCAGCATTGCATTTGTTTGTTGAAACATCTCAGTTGGTATTCCGTCAATTCCTGGAGCCTTATTTTTCATCAAGGCCTTCAGCGCAGCTTGGACTTCTTCCTTCAATACCATTGGTTCTTGATCATATGCTACCTCCTGAAACGGCTGAAGATTGACCAATTCTTGGTACAGTGACTCTGTGGATTCCTTCCATCTTCTTTTGATGCTTCCTGCGTTGTTCAATTTTTTGCCCATAGAATGCTTCAGTATTACAACTCAAAGCTTGAATTTGTTCTTCATTTCTTTCAGCTTGAGAAATGTCTAGCAAGTTCTTCCTTTTGGGTTTTCTAACTCCAGGTCTTTACATATGTCATTATAATACTTTACTCTGTCTTTTTGAGCCACCCTTTGAAATCTTCTGTTCAGCTCTTTTACTTCAAGATTTCTTCCATTCACTTTAGCTACTCTATGTTCAAGAGCAACTTTGAGAGTCTCTTCTGACATCCATTTTGTTCTTTTCATTCCTTCCTGTCTTCTTAATGACCTTTTGCTTTCTTCCTGTATGATGTCCTTGATGTCATTCCACCACTCGTCTGGTCTTCGGTTACTAGTGTTCAATGTGTGAAATCTATTTTTGAGACAGTCTCTAAATTCAGGTAGGATATACTCAAGATTGTATTTTGGCTCTTGTGAACTCATTTTAATTTTGTTCAGCTTCAACTTGAACTTGCATAGGAGCAATTGATGGTCTGTCCTGCAGTCAGTTCCTGGCCTTGTTCTGACTGATGATACCGAGCTTCTCCTTCGTCTCTTTCCACAGATGTAGTTAATATGATTCCTGTGTATTCCATCACTATGTTTAGTTACTTTATATTTTAACAATATTTGTGAATATTTGTCTACTTGATAATCTTTCTCATGAGGCAGGAAGTGCTTTGAGTTCAGGGACCATTTCTTTATGTATAAATATACTGTGTACCTAGCATAGTACCTGTCACCAAGTATATGTTTAACAAATGTTAATGGAAGGAAAGAAGAAAGGAAGGAAGGCTAAAGGAAAAAAGGAAAGCAATAAAGACTACTAAGGTAGCATCAAGCTCTTCAAACAAGGATATATCCTGGGAAAGTCCACCTGTGGGTGGCTCTACAAAGGAGTTGGTGATGGCTTTTAGTGGCTGCAGAGCCGTGATTCCCACCATGTTTATTGGCAGAACCCTGGAGATTCCTTCTTTCTTGGCCCGGCTATGACCTAGCTTCCTAGAAAGCCAGCACACAGATCTGTGCTGGCGACACCTCTGCAGAGTCAGCCAGCAACAGCCTGAGGTTGGTGATGCTGGAGGGTTTCTAGCATTCAGGAGGCTGGGCCTTGCTAACCTGTCACTATCCTATCAGTTCCCTCTGATGCCCCTGAACTTGGAAATATGATATTTGATAATTATTAACAATTAATAGTCAATTTTAGTATTGATAAATTGCTTTTATCTCTTTTATATTCCTCATCAGACGCAGAGCTGGGTCCTTATTCTGAAATTCCCAATATACAGGTTTCAGAAGTGCTTCTTAATTCTCAAAATATTATCTATCTATAGGTGACAAAGATTGTTATAGCTGCCAATCTTGAGACTCTAACTCCTTATAAAAGGAGTTTTCAAAACACTAGAACTTGGCAGCAGAGATCTCTTCCACTACTTTCCATTCACCTTAGTAAGCTATTAAATTCACTATTCAGGATATTCAATAGAACACTCAGCACATAACTTTGACTGCTCTTAGAAATTGATTCTGTTGATGTATAAGTTATTCAAAGAAAGTGCTTTTATGCCGGTTGTCCAAACATGGTAATGTAGTATATTGAACTCACAGAGTCAAAGGATGTTTGCACTAGCAGGTATCTCATAGACTAGTGTGAATGAAGGAAGCTATTGCCCAGCCAGAGAGGGTAGGAAACTTGCCCAAGGACACAAAGCAAGTAAGTGTCAAAATATGACTTGAAACCAAACATTGTGATCTAACTACCCCTCTGCTGCTCAATATTGATACACACACACACACACACACACACACACACACACATAAAGATAAAGTGTTACATTACTTCAACTGAATTGTCTGAAGAAACCGTCAGCCCTACTAAAACAATAGCCCATTTAAATTTAGGGTAGCCTGGTCAGGACTAGGCCCCGAGCCTTCCCAGTCCCCCAGAAAGCAGAGTATTGTTTCCCTCCAAAGCTTGCACTGAAAGGAAGCCTGTCAGCTGGCAATGACCTCGTGAGACAACTTTGGGGAGAGCAAAGGGCCGAGAAGAGAAAGGCCTCATTCTCACTGCAAACAGGAAAAGGAAGGAGAAAAAGAAAGCTCTGTCTCTGCATAAGGTTTGCTGGGCAGGCTATGAACTGTTCCAGTACGTTCCATCAAATAGACGCCTTCATAGAATCAAGCCAAGCGCGAACACCGTGTCTGGGACTCCCACTCCCAGGACACACACGTGGGCCGGTGCACACATGCTCTTGCTTTCTCGCGCCCTGGGAGAGCACTTATATGGGCTTCATGAGGCTAAGTAATAAACACTTTGTCTTCACCCTGCTATTTATGGGTTGCTTGGGGCATCCTGTTCTCTCACTGCCCTCACCTGGACAGAAGGCTCCTGCAGACCCTGAGTTTAATAGGGACTATGGTAAATCTGAAAGGCTCTGTGGGCCCCCCCAGTTCCTGTTTCCCTGGTCACCAGTGCTAATTGCAGAGAAGGGTCGATCTACATCCGTTCATCTATTCTCTTTGCTCCTTTCCTCTCAGTTAAATCCATTCTCTTTTTTCCCTAGACCCTCATTCTTTTCTTTCCTCCCAGACATCTCTCTAAGATAGTTCTTTTCTATTTTTAGTACTGCCAGGGATTCTTTCATTCTTCAGCAGTGGATCAATCAACTCTGAAAACTAAACAGCTCTGAAAACTGGCAACCACCAACTCTCGCCTCCAGCAAAGATTCTTGGGTAACTCTTGATGACCAAGCACATGCAGAGTTAAGGGGATGTTCAGGTCCTACCTGGTGCTGACTCCCAGGTTCACTTAAGAGCCTTGTACTTCCCCTGCACACATTGTGCTTGGGTTGCAAAGAGGAAGATACACATTTCAAAACAAGAAGTGTGCCCAGGCCGACAGACGTCTGAAAGCTGTAGAGGAAGGAGCCAGAAGAGTCTGCTGGATGCGGAACGACAGTTGGTCACTTTGGTCAGTTTTGGGGGCCCTTTTCGCTCTGCTCCTTGGGGGTTCTCAGGGCTCTTAGAGTGATGGGTCTTGCATGAAGAGACAAAGTCATGGCTGCATCCTGCCCATTTGGAGGCCATCACCCAAGCCTTGAGCCCTGTTGTCTCTCAGTCTTCCCTTCATCTTGGGTTAAATGGTTGTATCCTGAAAACAGACAAGACAGAGCAGGATGAGTTAACTTGGCTTCTCCCCACAGAACGCAGTTCACCATTGCAGTACTGATTAAATACGGGACATTATCTCACCATAATGCCCTCCTGGCGGCATTCCCAGGAAAATTCTAACTAATCATAAAAATAGAAATAAAAACTCAACCTAAATTCCATTCCTCATCTTAAATGAGTGATGTGTTCACTTTTATTTATTTTTCTGGAAGCAAGGCGGGAAAAGAAAATGAATTTCAGGGCTTAGAAAAACAAGCTACTAATAGTACTAAGTAGAAGCTAGGCAGTGGTGCAGACAGCTCAGCTGTAGCAGGGATGTAGTGGCGATGGCAAGGGGGAGTCCCAGTCTGCCTTCTGGCTGCAAAGTTCAAGTCTGAAACTGAACACCTGGAAGGGCAAAGTCAGGGTGAAAGGAGGGGAGGAGAGACGGTTGTGGGGCTAGATGTGGGTGCGCGAATGCACACATGTGCACACACGCACACACACACACTCCATATACCCAGACAAGCTGGGTACTAAATAGCTTTCTTATGGCCCAGGCAAGCAAATGCTCTTCCAATACTCCTTTTAAGCAATGCCTGTGTCTTTTTCTAGCATCATTCTTTCTGGAGACTCAGACAAGGTTTAGATATTCCCTCCCTGGAAGATCTTTTCCCCAGGATTCACCGAGCTAATTCCTACTCACCCTTTAGAGATCAGAGCAAACAGCACTTCCTTCAGGAAACCTCCAAGAGTTCTACCCCATCCAGGCTTAGTCTTGGAGTTCTAAACTTCCTTTTCACAGCAGTCATCATGGTTGTAATTAACACAATCATTGTGTAGTTAGTTGTTTAAGATCCTGTCCCTTCCTTAGATCTAAAACTGTGTTTGGTTTGTTAATTACCCTGCAAGTGCCTGGTAAGAGTCCCTGGGTGATGCACATGATTAAAGTACTTAGCTGCTAATCAAAAGGCTGGAGGTTCAAGCTCACCAGAGGTTCCTCAGAGGAAAAGCCTGGTGATCTACTTCCGAAAAATCAGCCACTGAAGATGCTATGGAGCACAGTTCTACTCTGACACACAAGGGGTCGTCATGAGTTGGAATCGACTCAACAGCAACTGGTTAAGAGCCTGGAACATAGTATAGCTGTTCAATGTATACCTGCTGGATGGTTAATGGACCTGACTACCCCATGAAGGGCAACCTATGCTACTTTGGTAGGCCCCAATGTTAGAAGCAAGACACTGATGTAGAACCAGATCATGGTGGGTCCAAATAATTTCTGCTCTTTCTTTCTGGGAAGCCTTCATGAATAAACCATAGGAGAATTCAAACTCCTGAAAACCAGCCTCTGGATGCTTCTCATAATGTTACACTGGGTGAAAAGAAAATAAAAGCCATAACTATACCCCACACCCCTCCCGCCCCTACCTGCCCCCTCTCCTGGCATAAGCATCTCAACGCAGACATCCCCCATCATCCCATCATGGCAGTGGAGTAATGGGCACTGTTACTTGATGGCAAAGTTCTAGCTAGGCTAATTAAGCATACTGAGCTAATAACCTTCCATTTTGGGACCAGTATTATTCATAATTTAATGTATTGCTGCTGAAACATTAACCTTTCGACAACTGGCACGTTGCCCACAGCAGCCGAGTGCTGACCATCTTTCAGTAAAATGAGTATTATTGTTAAAACAGGTATAAATCATTCATGGTTGCAGCTTTTGTGTCAGACTGTATGTGAAAATAAGCAGTAAGCTGGGTAATTTATTTACCTTTTGGTGATTATTTTTTATTTTATGATCATATTCAATGATTCATAAACATTGGCCTAGTGCCATGTTGTAATCATTTTAGATTTTAAATATTGTGTGACTGTTCTGCTTTTCATCTTTAAAACTTTCAGGATTGATACTGGGCAACTTAATCCAGACACAAATACAATTTCATTTGAAAGAAGGGGGTGAAAAAAAGAATCCTGGCCCCTTCATTTTAACAAACCATTTTCCACAGAGCTGTTTGGAGCTTCCACTTGTTATAGCATTGCACTTACTGCAGCGAACTTTCTTTGAAGTTTAACACACAGAGGGTGCCTTGAAATCTGAATAAAAGCACAGGAAAACAGTTAACAAGCTTCTGGTTGGAAAGATGATGGGAAGGAGCCGAGGGGTGGAGGGAGGCCTGGAAACACTGGCCTCATGCCAAGAAGGCTGGAAGCCACAAGCCCTACTCCCAGCACCTGGTTGCTGGAATGCGATTACAGTCCCCAGGGGATCTGGAGAAATCTTTACTGCCTGCTTGCCTGCTCCTGCTGCCTGCACTGAGTTTGGGCTCCCATAACGGTTCCAGAAAGTAGCTTTTTCTCCTTATGACAACAAGGAGGAGCTGCAGATGGAAAGGTAGTCTGGTCTTTGATGAACTGTGAGCTCAGGAACCATCCTTACATTCTGCAGACTCTCTTATGGTATTCCTTGGTGTTTCTGAAACCAGTTAAAGTCCAGACTTCCAGTATTTAAAAGCTAGTATGTAGAGGCTCCACTGCTCATCTGTCAGTTTGTCGTACTGTGGTGGCTTGCATGTTGCTATGATGCTGGAAGCCATGCCACCGGTATTTCAAATACCGGCAGGGTCACCTATGGTGGAAAGTTTCAGCAGAGCTTCCAGACCAAGACAGAGTAGGAAGAAGGGCCTGGTCACTTACTTCTGAAAATTAGCCAGTGAAAGCCCCATTGATCACAACAGAATATTGTCCCATATTGTGCTAGAAGATGAGGCCCCTAGGTTGGAAGGTACTCAAAATACATAGTGGCCACAACAATGGACTCAAACATGCCAAGGATCATGAAGATAGTACTGGACCTGGTGACATTTCATTATGTTACACACAAGGTTGCCATGAGTTGGAGCTGACTCCCCGGCAGCTAACAACAGTGGTAGCAGTGTAGAGGCTAAAGACGAAGTTCGGATGGTGGGAGGGAGGGAGGCAGGCAGAAGGCAGAGAACGTGACATCGTGTTACAACTCTTCCGTGAGGCAGAAGCATGCCTGGGAGCAAGGTTGCTTTTGGACCTTCATCTCTTGTAAGGTGTGCTAGTGCAGAGGGAAGCCAGCCAAAGATGACTGACACCATCGCCTCAAACGGAGGAGATGAGATCTAGAAAGGCAGCCACAAGTATGTGCTGTAAACAAACACTCACATCCACAGTGGAAGCCCAGGCAAGAGGAAAATAATAGACACACTTGTTTCTGGAAGAGTGTGAAGAGAGCTCTACCCGAAGGCAGAGGAATGGACAAAAGGATTGCTTACTGTTTTCTTTCCCCTTAGTTTGCTTAATCTCCCATCTGTAGCTTTCATGGCCTTTTTGATGTGATTATCTTGTTTCAGTTTTTCCTGGAGTTTTTTTTTTTTTTTTTTTTGCTGTTATTTTATTTAGTTTTTGACCATCACATATTTTCATAAAAGGACATTGCACATAACATACACTGATCTACCTTTATCTTGAATGATCTGCTTATTAGCTTGGCAGAGCTGGCCTGGGCAAAAGCGGCAAAGCCATTCATGCCTGGGGATGAGTCTCTGGCCATCGTGTGACCTCTGCCACTTCAGAGGACTTCTGGCAGTCACCGTTCGTCCGGCATCACTCAGGCTGGTGCCAGTTGTGAATTCGGCACCCGGAGCCCCCACTCCCTGTATCGGACTTGATAAAGCAAGCTGCTTCCTAGGTATGCTAAAGAATGAATTAAGAAACAGAATAACCTGGGATGAGTGAAATTCCCTTTCAATCATGTCAGCCAGAGCAGATGTTGTCATGAAATTTGATGTTATGGATTTATTTCCTAATATAAAGTCTAAAAAGGAAAACAGCGTAAGAGAGCTGAAATGTGAATTGGACATGTCTATAGAGTGTGAATTGGATTCAAGACAAAATATTGTGAATGGTTAACAGGGTCAGTCTAAGTATACTTGCTGAAATAATCTCTCGGATATGCAAATATTCCAAGAACTACACTGTCAAATATCTACTGTATCCTCTTATCTATGTGTTCACAGAACTGCTATCTGTTATAACAAACGAAAAATGTGAATTTAAAAAATAATGTCACCCTAAAATAATACTTTGCTTTGAATAGTAATTTTTGTTGTTGGGGTTTGTTATTTTTGTCACACACCAGACAACCAGGTTCTTAACGCTGCATTATTTGGAAATATTAAGAGGTGTGCTTTGTGTGTCCAGTTTTCAGCAGAAACAGATGCGCAGTGGGGATGGGGGGGTGGCGATGGGGAAGGGGAGGGAGCAAGAACTGGCCACACATCCAGTTTGATATGGGTCTGCCATTAGTAATATCAATGCCTTGGTATTATCCCAAGGGAACTTCTGCTTCTGGCTACCTAGGGACCCTCTCAGTGGAATTCCTTTTCCTGGGAACATTGTTTTGAGGCCTTGGGATGCTATTTACATGTTTACCATCTCATCATAGTAATCAGCCCATTACAAACAAGGGTGGGGGGCCAAGGAGAATTCCGATAAAAGACACTCAGAGAGAAGTCCTAGATTTCACTTTTGACAATTTCCAGGGCTCTGGTCGCCATGAGTCTACTAGATGGCAACTAATAACCACGACAACCATCAAACTGCTCACTAGAACCGTTAGCAAGGCTTTGAACTGAATGCATTTCATTCAGTAGTTTTTTTTTTTTTTTCTCTTAGTCTTCTAGTACTGCTGTCAAGAAATAGAAATACCACAAGTGGATGGCTTTCAACAAAGAGAAATTTATTCTCTCACAGTCTAGTAGGCTACAAGTCCAAATTCAAGGCATCAGCTCCAGGGGAAGTCTCTCTCTGTCAGCTCTGGAGGAAGGTCCTTGTGATGCATCAGTCTTCCCTTGGTCTGGGAGCATCTCAGCACAGGAACCTCAGGGGCAAAGGCTCTGCTCCCGGCACTGCTCTCTTGGTGGTATGAGGTCGCCAGGTCTCACTGCTGGCTTCTCTCTTTTATAT